TGCCCAGCGGTCGTAGAAGTCTTGTGGTGAGTTCTGACGTGTTCCTGATGTAGGGTAGTGTGATGAGTGTGTCGGGGCGTGTAGGATCTTTCTGATGCTGTTCCTGTAGGCATCTCCTGACCCAGTTCTTTGGATATCCATTATCCTTGAACATTTGGAAGAGGTATTCTTCCTCCTCTTGGCATAGTTCCATGTTGCTGCAGTGTGTTGTTGCCCTTTTAAATAGTGTTCGCACACAGCTTCGTTTGTGTGTGCTGGGATGGTTACTATTGAAGTTCAATACCTGGTCTGTGTGTGTGGCTGTTCGGTCCATTTTCTCTTCATTTTGTCATTGCACCTCAGGAATACCGTTTGCCACAAATTACATCACCATATTTTGTACTTATAAAGAGAACTAGAATGCTTTTACATGAGTAACACAGTCCCTTACATCAAATCTGATCTTTCCAGGATAAAGCAATTCAAAAAATATTGATGAAAGCAGATGAGATCTGGTATTTACTTTGGGGACAGTTTATTGAATCAGTTCATTTTCAGTGTTTGACATCACCTTTTCAATACTTAATCCATTGAATTATACAAAATGAATGAATGAATTTGATTACTTTATTTGCTTTGTTTAACTAGGTGAATTGCAAGTTTGTGTACTTGGGTAATGTGCATTTTTTAAATAATGTTATTGCCTTTCAACAGCACATGCCTTTACAAAATTTTTAGTTTATATGTTTAACAAAACATTGTGTGGCTTTTAACACTGGTTCCACAGATGACACTGCCTTTGACTCATTTATATTTATGGGGCATTTTATAATGTAAAACAATTTTTGTTTGATACTCAGTATATGTAATTTTACCAATATAAGTCAGAAAACACCAGGTTGACACTCACTTTCATGAGACTACAACAGTTATTTTCCTTCTTTAGCAAAAGGAGAAAAGAACCCTATCCTCATTGCTTTCCCTCCCCATTTTGTCCGCTTCCTTTTCATGAAAGTGCTGACACTTGATGAGATACAGATTTGAAAACAGCCTTCCAATGTTCTGCCCATGAGCATTCTTTACATGTGAGGCAAGCTTGTTAATGTTGACACTCTATTCACCAGGGTGGGCATTACAATTGAATCCAATAATATCCTCAGCTACTGTATGTCTCTCTGCTCTGGTCTGAAGGCAATGCAAAGTAATTGTGGTACTCACAACCATTGGTTGAGATCAAATTGTATCCCTTGAAACACATTATATTTTAGAAAAGTAAAGCTGTAATTTCTTCTCAGTTGGAATTAATGTGTCAAAATGAGCTATCAGAACAACCAGTGCAGGCTGGTAGAATGGTTATGAAGTCCAGTTGTTTTATGCGCTATATTGAACTTGTATTATTTCTTAGGCATAGAATACACAAAGCTAACCTAAATATGGCATGAAAAGAATAGAGCTTTAGTCCCTATTTATAAATAACAAACATTAATTCTATAATTTTGTATGTATTGATTTAGCATTCTAGCCACACCAACTAGATTAAACTCTGGACTCTTTACGAGCTGTAAACAACTAAAGTAAATGAGCTTGATATAATCTAATTTATTTCTTAGTGGATATTGACCTACAATTAAAAAAAAGGATCCTTCAAAGCTGAAACTGGGTTCAAGATGAAAATGTTGCAATATAAACACTGATAAGCCTACTCACCAACAAAAGACTATTATTTGAAAGACATCATTGAATAGCATTCACCCAAATGATGCATTTTTGTTGGGCATATCAATCTGATACTGAAAATAATTCGGGTCACTAAGAGCATTTTAAAGAATGCATACCACATCTCTGTGAAGAAGAGTTATTTTCTAGCTTGCTGGAAAACATAAATCTTCTTAGTTTAACAGACAGAATGTGTTGCCTGAATTTGCTATTTACATTTTATAGCATCATAATCATCCAGTGGCCATCAAAATGTTGCTCCTGGTCATCTTAAATTTGCTTCCTTGCAGGGAACCAGAAAGTGTGCATTTTAAATTTATTACAGAAAAATAATTCAAATGTTATGGGTATACATGTTTAAAATGTTTCAAGGTTTTATCAGATTGAGTACCCTTTAGCTCTCAATGATTTCTTTTTTACATGAACCATCTTGAATATTTTGTATAATTTGTCTGAAATGAATTTTTCTTCTCTAAGACATTTCTGAGGAAATTTCAAGAATCAGCTATAAAAAGTCTAGAAGCCATCCATCATTGTTAAACAAATAGATTGTATTAGTAAAAACAGCTATTGATGGCTATGAACTTTGAGTACTTAAGATCATGCCTCAGTTTTGTAGATAAGGCATGAATCAGCAATAAACAATTCTCCATCCTGGGGGCTGAATTTTCATCTCACATTTTGGAAGCAGCCAATAGTTCTTGACTTTGCCACCCCTTCCAACACCCACCATATCTCCATCTCCTCAGGACTTGTATAGGCCGCGTTCAAATCTGTTGCCTCCTTAGGCAAGCCAGAGTTATTGGGTGCTGAAGTGGATTGGTTAGAAAGCCCATCTCTGCTCTTGGGAATGTTGATCCACTTCTCCCGTTATTCTTATGTCTCCTGTAAAGCTCATCCCATACCTCCCACCATCCCACATTCCACTTCCATGCTCACTGTCATTCCACATGCCCTCATTCTCCTTAAATCACCTTTCTCTCTCATATTCTTCCAGCTTCTTTCATGCCCTTTTATCTCTTAGGCCCTCTCATATCCCAGTTTCTCCTCTCTAGCCCACGTGCGTCCTCCATAGCCACTCACCCAATATCTACCATAGACATGTAATATCGATTGGAAGTCTTTGAAGGGATTGTGAAAAACATTGACAAATTAACAATCTAATAGCGATGTTACTCAAAGACACAGACACCATTGAGAAAAACTCCAGACCCGTTAATTCCTCTAAAGTGGTTACACAGATCTAAAATCCATATCAAAGGCACATAATCCTTTAATAACCTCTTAAGCTTTTAATCAAATTACTGGCTCATCAGTTTTTAAAACTAAGACAGTTATAATTGGCCCAACTATCAAAATAATCTATTGAACAGACAATGGGACCTAATGCAACTGAAAGAATAGATGGCTCAGTCTTTCTGTATGTGACTCCAGATGTTCAGTCATTAAAAAGATTTTCAGGAGGATGTCATCTTTTTATGTTAAAGCAATGAGCATTTTAATCACTTCAGTTCATGATGAGAGTTCCTATGCACTCTTTTCTGTTGTTTTAAATGCATAATAGCAGTTTCTCCAATGGGCAAAGTGTTTCCCATTTACACAAAGTTGATCAATGTAATGGCTAACTTACCTTTCAAGAGCAGATCCCTACAGATCACATCAGTATAAAAATATTAAATATAAAAACTTATAATGCAGCACCTAAAAATTATACCTGAAATTGTCAAAAGATGGAACACTTATCTGTCAGAATGTTCCTAACTCCTCAGCAGACTTTCTCAAACATTTTTGACTGGTGGATTTTCAAAAGGATTACAAATCTTTCCTGATCCAGCAACAATGTTTCTGACATTTGTAGTCCTGTCAATAGCAACTCCAACATCACAGGCTATGCATGCAAGGTTGCAAGCCAAATATTTCCCATTGATGAAACTTTTGTGTAGGACTTGGCATTTTTGATCGAAAAATTCAAATGTACACTCCAGTGACATTTTTTCCCCTACTTCCTACATCCATTCTTGATTCTTTTTTTATTTTCTGATCTATGTTTGAGTATCTAACTAAGACCCTGAGTCTAATATAAGCAGTGAGAGAAGAAAATTGGCCTGCGATTCCAGTAGCCACTTTGATCCAGCAGTGTCAAATCCTGCAACATTTTATAAAATGATTTCTAAAAATGCTACTACCAAGTTTAAATGAGGATATTTTTACAATTTGTTAAAGTGGAAAGCATATTGTCATCCTATCTCATCTCCTACTATTTTAAGTGCGTACAATGATTACCAACATGAATTGCTTTTTGATAAATCATTAGAAAACATCATTACAGATCCTCTTCTAAGGAGATAATTGGCCTGTGGATAGTTCCTTTCTCGGTGGCATGCCTAAATATTTCTCTGTTCGTGCTGTGCCTGGGAATGCTAGTTTTAATATTACCCACTTCCTGGCCCCAGAAATTTATGTTTTAACTTCGTCATTAAAGTTGACAGCTTCTGAAATTCCATGTTTAGCTCTTCACTGGAGTGGGATAGGATGGAAGCATGAAATGACACTTATGAAATTGAAGTTATTGTGAATATATGTTTCTAAATAAGTTTGAAATTAACTTTGTTAAATCCATAATATTCTATGTTGTAGATAAAAAGAGTGATTTTTTTAAAACTACAGAGCACAATGTGTGATAATCTTTGAGAAGAACCTAATGTCTTCTTCTTGACTTTGATTTTCAAATCAGGATACAAAAGGTGAACAGTAAAAGCCTCCAACATAGTTTAATATACACCAACAGTACTTCTAAAAAAAAGCCACAACTTAACTACTCCAAACAAATCCTTTACTTATGAAGCATTGTTTAAGTTATCTCAGAGATTTGTGTTACTGCAAGTTTTCCCTGATAAGACTTAATATTTTTAAGTTTTCAATCTCAGCAACATAGCTACAGTGATAGTAAATGGAGACAAGGTGTTTCCATACAAGGACAAAAACAGAGAAATGATAAGTAACTTTCAAAACCAGACTTTGTTCAGTATGGATAGAAGTCTGGAAGCAATCGTCTGTCTTTTAATCACATAATCCCAGAAAAGGAAAAGGGGAGAAAATAAATTATTTTCATGACACATTGTATTAATATGAGAACATAATTTTGACCAACACGAGAACTGCTAATGGTGTAAAACTATGTTGTGGTGCTGACCTGAGGTTGTCAAATTTGAGAATATTTGCCATATAAGTCTTGCATCTAAGACCAACTTCTAACCTGCCTTTCACCCCCCACCCCATTCCCACTTCCCACCTGCACCATGTAGGGTTACTTTAGTGATCCCTGGAATGTTTTTGACTTCCTCATCGTAATTGGCAGCATAATAGACGTCATTCTGAGTGAAATCAATGTGAGTATACATGACGCTCTTCAAGATCAAACTTATATACTTTTTTCTTTCTTTCTTAACCAGCTTTATTTTGTCAGATATTTAATTCCATTAGTTTCAAGTACTGCAATGGAACTGGTGAGACTACACAGAATTAGGAAAGCAACGCAGGTCAAATGAAGTATCACGAGGAAAAACTGAAATGGCTTAACATGGTTCAACTGGTGCAGTTTAAAGTCCTGGATGTATAGGTGACAATTGAGGGTCAACTCTTCATAGATAGTCATGTCTATAACGGGAAATACTGTACACATGTAACCTCTTTCTCTTATTTTCTCTTCTCTTCCCTCTTTTTTATTCTTTCCTTGTCTCTTCCCCTTTTGTTTTTCCACATGCAGCACTATTTTTGTGATGCATGGAATATATTTGACGCCTTAATTGTTGTGGGTAGCGTTGTTGATATAGCTATCACAGAGGTGAACGTAAGTAACCATCTCAATGAACATGCCTGCTCCACTTCTGTTTGTTATACTTCTATTCATATCCAATTTTATGTTTGTAATGTCATCCTTTTTCCTGCCCCTAAGCCTGGCATGACTTAAACTGTATAGCAGGTACAGAGTGCAGCATAATGTCTACAGTGGTTTTAGTTTGAATTATTCTGACTTCTGAGTTTAAAGAAAATAATGCCAACGTTTACCTAATATGACATGGATAGCAAGGCCATTTTTTTAAAAATCAAAACATTTTTTGGCATCACTGCTTCAAATAATTTAAAGGAATCCTTGCATATATCTATCATTAGGATAGCATGTGTAAAAAGGGACATCATGATAACTTGTTAACTTGCTGATCTTGCCAGTGTTTTTGTAGAAAGGCCTTAAGTAAAAGAAAAGTATCTCATCACCACAAGAGAAGAAAACTGAAGAGAGATTTATGGGCAATTGTTGCATAACTCCTTGTAGCCTCATCGAGATCTTGTATAGGTTGCCCACCCCTAACTTTAAGAAGTTACATTACGTGTAAAGTTCCAAAACTATGAAGTGACAGCATGTCACAAAATGTTTTTCCATAAAACAAATCAGTTACAATTACTTTGAAATTGCCAATGCAGTTTCCCTGTCATTTAAATTACCTTTGTCTATTGAGTTTTACTGGGTGTTTTATTTTTCTTGTAATTTATGCTTCTCATGTCAAGTCTTTTTCAATCGTGTTTGGTTTCTACAGCTCCCGTAAAATGCACTAGAGACAAAATTGCTGCATAAAGCTAGTGGATGAAATGTTCTCATTGGATTACCTACCCCTTTTAGGACTCACCCATTTTGTTCTATGCATGTTGTACACTGGATGGGCAAACTACTATGCCAAGTTACCTCACAGAAAATAAAGTAGAAAATATATTAGATATTAATTACAATTTTGTAACTATTTAAAGAATAATGTTGCTGGATGGAGAGACGTGTTATCGAAGCTTTTAATTTTGCATTCATCAGGACAAATACAAGAATGGTAAATTTCAAACAATCATTTTAGGAGAACTGTGCTGATTGGTTGGTAAGGCACTGATTGGTTGAGGTATTACCATGAACTATAGGCTCTCCAAACTCCTGGGTAAAAAGGCACAAGGCTTGAACATAATATATCCATTTTGTTTGAAGAGAATAGGTCTCTGTATATGAATATATGTTGCTTCTAGCAAGCATAAATGAGCAAAAAATATGAGCTTGTGTGATTATCTAGGTTATTGGTATAGCTAGCTATTCACAGTCGTGATGGCTCAGCAAAGTGCTGCCCAGTTGCAGAATCTAACAGTAAATATTTTGTTTAGGGTTTTGCAAACAGGCCCTCATTAAGTATGGTCAATACTCGGTCTGGTATGAACCATCAAAAGAATATGTTGTTTCATTTGACTACGAAGACACTTGAGAGTTTGGTGAGCCTACAGCTCTTCATGCTTTCTCCATACTAATGCCTCAGCCAACAGCATCAACTTGCCAACTCCTCAGCACCCTTTATTCGTGTAGTGTAAATTGTTGTGATGGTTTGAAAAGGGTCCCTATCCTGATGAATACAAGGCAAAAAACATAAGAAATGTATCTTTCTTTTCAGCTTTATTGAATTGCTGTGCTGCTGTTTGAGTGTTTAATTAAAGTTAGCGATTATGAAAGTTTGCCGGATAACTTTTTAAAAAAACACAATTGATCCACATATGAAAAAATAAAAGTAAAGGTAAAGTCACAATAATCCCAGAGGTCCATAGAGTTGCTCAGTCATTGGAGGGAGACATTTGGTAGTGATCTAATCTGTAGGCCACCATGCTTCAGGTGAGGGGAAGAGGTTGAGGAGAATTCTTCATGGTAACCTCAGCTAGCACAGGAATTGAACCCACACTGTTGGCAGCACTCTACATCACAAACCGAGCATTCAGCTAACTGAACGAACTGACCCCCAATGAAACATTGTCTATTGTTAAAATATTGAGAAGTTATTACATGTGGGCAAAAGTTGGGTTTTGTAGTATTGCATAATCAGTAGACATTACCGACCTATACTTTTTTTTTGCAAAAATCGAATTGGCTTTTAGTACCTCAGTCTAAAAATAAATGTAACAACTCAATTTATTTAAATGTGTTTGTGACCTGTCTCTCTGTTTCTTATTATGAATCCCATTTCTAACATCCATCAAACTTGACAACTTTTATTACATTGGGAAATTTCTGTAATCATATATATTTAATGAAGATCAATTAGAAATAAGGAACCACTTCAGCCTAATTAACTGAAAGCCTTCTGAAAGTTTTCATTTGTAAATTAATTTCATTCTAACTGGAACTTCAGTGTAATTCAAACTTTTAAAAAACTGTCATTAGTTTGTGTGTACGTAAATATCTGCTATACAGTCAATAACTGAACTTTGCGTTACCTCTCTATTACTAAGCATGGTTGGATTTTCTTAATGAATAACCACATTGCACTTATTTATTAAAAGTTTTTGAGTAAGGTCTCTACGCTTCCGACAATGATGTTTATGAAATAAAATCCCTGCAATAGTGTGCAGAAGCTTCTAGCAGAAGTCCATTAATTTTTGTGCATAGCCACTATTTTTACATAAAGAAAGATGTTACGCATTTGATGAAAAGATTTAAGGCAGGTTAAATTATTTTTAAGCAAACTATCAAAGTATCAGCCATATCAGTAAGCCCTCATTGCAGCATGCAATGTTTGTTTGTAATCAAGAATAATCAAAAGCAAAATTGACAACAACTACAGATTCCACTATTTGGCAAGAAGGGATCATTGTTTTGGTAGAAAATGCTACAGTTACTATTACTGTATTACACTGGCCTGGTTCCAAATGATATGCCATGACTTCTTAAATGATTGAATATAAAATGCATCACAGTTCAAACAGTGGCTGACCTTATGTTGCAAAACATATTCTGCCTGATTTCCAAGCTGATGTATTTAACAGATCCTGAAGCCTAACTTCCAATTGTAAGTTCCTCTTAAAGCCCATATAAGACAAAGTTCAAATTCTCTGCTCCCACCCCAAACAATAAAGCATGGCATGGTCTGCTTTCAACTGGAAACAGTCCAATTTTAATAAAATGGACCTTCCTGAGAAATATCAAACTCTAGGGGCTTCATTTAGGCGATATACTGATTACATAACTCCCAGAGCGCCCACACTGCATTTGGCGCTTCTTTGGGAAGATGAAGAAATACTTCCCTTTTGAATTGATCTCCCTGCAGAAATAGAGCTTTGATATCAATTGGTGTACATTCCTGATCATTTGTTGCTTACAAAGCCAAGAAATCTTTAAAACTGCTTTTCCTCCTGTAGGTGAATCCACTCTAATATATTGGCTCCCCGAGCTTTTCTTCAAATCCCCGTGCCAATAGCTTTGTTTTGGCCATATTTTCCATGCGTTTACAATACAGTAACACTGGCTATCACTTGTTTGGCACCTCTGTGTACACCCCACATTCTCTCCAGCTTTGTAATTCTTATTGTTTGGCATATGGTGTTAATTTATATTCTAAGTCATTTGTGGGCGCAAGATTGTCCTGATCACATTGACTTCTGCTCCTGGTGGCATTTCTGAGTTCTACAACTTTCTTGACCTTGTTAAGCAATGCCCTCTATCTTGCATTATATGTCTTTCTAAATTATTATTAATTCATCTCCATATCCTATTAAAATGATTCCTTCCATGGTTCATGATTTCTTTCTGAAGGCAGGTTTGCTCCCTCGGTAATTATCAAAGGCAACACAGCAGTTTTTTGTCTTTCATTTTTGTATTTCGTGTTTCCAATCCATGTGCTTTACCTCCTTGACTTCAACCAGTTGATATAATTCTCAGTGACCGACCCTGCTCTACTTATAATAGTTCTATTTCCCCATTGATTCACGCCTTGTTGTAAATATTTGATTTCTGTACATGCTTTTGATGGTTGCCCTTTGGGACCGATGGCCTCATCTTAGTCACCAGAACTTATCTATCCTTCATCTGACAAACTTGTCAATTGTGACTATCTGATCCTCATAGCTGTGCAACATATAGTTTTCGCCAGTGAACCAACTTCAGTTCCTATCCACATTTTCTTACCCACAACAATTTTACTGTCATCGCTGTGTTATTCTTGACTGTCTAAATCTGCTTGACTAATCAACAAAATGTAAAGTTAAAATGTTTGTTCTCTTTGTTCCTCACCTTTAAATCCATAACTACATAATGTTGGTAATGGAATGACTGAGTGTTTGTGGATGCTGTGTCAATCAAGTGGGCTGCTTTCTTCTGGTTTGTGTCAAGCTCCTTGAGTGTTGCTGGAGTTGCACTCATCCAAGCAACTAGGGAGTATTACATCACACTCCTAACTTGTGCCTTGTGGATAGTGGACAGCTTTGGGGAGTCAGAAATCTCCTGTTGATTATCACATACCATTCTCCCTCAACTGAAATACTGTGCTTCTCCATCTTTAATAACACTTGGAGGAAGCACTGAGAGTGACAAAGGGTGACAATATATTCTGGGTGGGGAATTTCAATGTCCACTAGTATGAATGCCTCAGCAGCAGTAGCACTAATGATCGAGTTGTTTGGTCCTAAAGGACATTGCTGATAGACTGGGTCTGCAGCAAGTGGTGAGGGAACGAACAAGAGGGAAAAACAGACTTGACCTCATCCTCATGAACCTGCCAAATACCGACCCATCAGTCTGCTATTGATCATCAGTCAGTTGATGGAGGGTATCATCAGAAATGCCAACAAACAGCATCTGCTTAACAATAACTTTCTCTGCGATGCCCAGTTTGGATATTACCCAACTGCCACCCAGCGCCTGACCACATTACAGCCTTTGTACAAATGTGGACTAAACAGCTGAATTCCAAAGGTGAAGTGAGAGTGACAGCCCTTGGTATCAGGGTCACATTTAACCAACTGTCACGTCAAGGAGCCCTAAGAAAACTAGAGTCAGTG